CCATAAATTGTTCCATTATTAAACCTTTCATAAATATTCTAAACAAGGCCACCACTACATATCATTAATCTTTTAAAAATTTTAATCATTTAAAAAATCATTACAAGTGCAACACAGTTTGAAGACACAATTTAGCCAGCTACTTGGGAGGGAATAATTTGTTTACATACTGTCAGTTTTTCTAATTGAGACTAGAAAGTGAAACTACCAATGCATTGCTGTCCACTTGCACTCACAAACTTTGACACTAACCCAGTAAGTGTTCATGCTGTCATTTACTACTAGTTTCTACAAAATAAACAACATACTGTGCATACATCTTTTAAAGAGTTGTTTTAGGACCAATCAGACCTCTTACAGAATGAAGTTACCTGAATTAGTAGAATGACAACAGAGAAATAAATGAAAGCACTAAAATGCAAAACATAAAGAGACAACATTTGTGGTAAGATTTCTTATCTACGCAGCATAAAATAACAAAGCAGGCCGCTCGCCTTCGCCAAAAAGAAATGTGCAAATGTTTTTTATTTGTAAAAGGCTTTGATTCATCTTGCCAAACATGTTCAATTAAGCAAATGAACCTGGAGCACCTGTTGTGAATGCAATCATATCTCTAACAGTAACCCAGTTAACATTGATCCGTACTCTTAATCAGAAGGCATAGATTACTTGCAGCCATTTATCGTGGTGTACTGACTGAACAAAGCTATAAATAATGGATCTCGATAAAGCCCATAAAGCCATGCTATGAATTATCAGGGTGATATGCTTAAAGAGTGCAAGTTTTGCAAGCAAAACTTTATCCTTGTCTTTAGTGCCACCGCAACAGTCTCTAAGCGACATACTGTCGGTCAACAGTGTCTAAACCACTCTCTATACATTACAAAAATTCTTTCCAGAAACAACGTTTGTTTAAGGTACGTTATGTACAAAAGGGAAGAAACAAAAGACAGTTCAGCTTCCATTGTCTTCTAGGGATAGGATAATAGCACCTTTACAGGTCTAGGCTTGATTTTTGAATCACTTTCAAACTGAGAGATCAACAGCTCAAAGGCACTTCTATGTTTGTGCCTTAGCAAAAATAGAAACAAAGGCTATTTCCAGTACACACTGTCCACTAGCAATGGTAACCCATCAAAGGGGTTTTGATTATAACCCAAAAGGGCTCAGTTTACCCAAAAAGCACAATCTATTGTGTTTAACAATGAATTTTATTCAACCTAAATTAACAGTGGAACTGAAGCACATAATCAGTGTCAATTAATGGTGCTGATTTTAAAATATGGGAAATGGTTTTCAGCCATTTTAAACTAAATGCCCGTGTTTCTTAGCAATTTAGAGGTTATAGTGATTGACACAGGGGTGCAGATTTTTCTCTAGACATCTTTTGTAGCAGCATGCATGAGTCAATGTATTGACCTTAACGGCAGAGTTGCATGATTAAAAAATGTCTCCAACACCACTTCTCAGTAAAAAAAAAATAACATCAGGACATAGTAAGGAGAGCAAAACACAGAAAAATGTGAAGTACGCTGGTGCACATGTGGGTGAGAAGAATCTGGTCATTCAAAAGAAAAATGTACTGTACAACGCCTGCACTGTAAAATAACACAAGGGGTTCAGTTACGTTGCTCATGTGTCTAGCTGATTTATAGGCCTTTAAGAATCGAAGGGCACTTGCACAGCAATACTGTCTGTTGTGATGTAAGTATTTACTGACGGACGCTACCTCATTTAGCCAAATCACTGCCTCTCCTTTATTTTATTTCAAATGTTATAAATTTGACAAAACAAAAGAGTTTTCTCTTGATTCCTAGTCAACTTGTTCTTTTTATATTTATTTTAATGTCAGCTGAATGGGTTTCCATAGCAACAGAGCACTTGCTTCTCTAGGTTGGAAGAGCTGTGTTCATCACGCCTTTAAAGACAGGCCTTACCATAGGCATGTCTGCAGTACAGCTCGGTAAAAGACAATCAGTCTGACAAAACTGTGCAAATCAGTCTCAGTTTAAAAAAAAAAACCTTTTGAATGACAGAAAAAAGACTAAAACCTGCAGGGAAATGGCCGAGTTCAGATACTCCTTGAGAAATGAATCAACACGCAATGGAAAAACTTCTCATCCATCTGAAACCAACAAAGAAATCTTCCAAAATATCATGCAGAGAAAAACATACAGTACACTGCAAAAGTGATGTTTCTCCTTCTGAATTTGAAAACGAAATTGATTAAGTTAGTTTCATATTATTTTATCTGTTGTGCCATTTTTCCTCTAAAACAGTTACTTTAAAATGTATTAATTTAACATTCTGATTATGTGTGTATTACACAGCACAATTACCAATAGAAAAAAATGATTTTGGCATATATGTATGTGGCACAAACCAAAAATAATAATGTTAAATTCAACTGTCCTTACTCATTTTCATTCTTATATTTAAACACAATCACAGACAGCAGACCACAATCACCACACCTCATGCAAACAACAATTTCCTTAACTGAAAATACACTTAGCGATCATGATTCTCCTGTCTCAACAAGGGACCTCCTGCTGAGGAAAATCCACATATCTACAGGCCAGAAAGAATACCCTGAAAAATGGGGGGGAAATGAAGAAACAATTATCCAAAGAAAAGAAAACATTTAAAATTAGAGGGCCATCTGTTTGGCCATAGTATTCTAGGAGGTAAACATAGATTTACAAAGGGTAGATCTTTCTCACCTAAATTTGTAGAGCTCTTTTAAAGTTCCATATAAAAGATTAAGTCTTAGATTGAAGGCAGTATTCATTAAAGGTAATGCATGTAATTAAATAAAATGGTTAATACATAGAAAATGGAGAGTACAACTAAGGGGTGAATGTTCGGATTGGGGTGATGTAATTAGTGCAGTAACCCAAGGATCTGTATCAACAACACTGTTCTTTATAATTTATGTCAATGATTCATATTCTGGTATAGTTAAACTAGGCACGTTTGTAGATCAGAAAACACTGCAGAAGTGGCATTCAAAACGTTTCAGGGTAAACACCTGGAAGACAGCATTTAATGTAAATAAGTTTAGAGCATTGCATGCTGGCAGCTGGGAATCTGAAGATTTAGGTGTTTAGTGTTGACATATTACTAGCATCTTAGACCAATGATCAACATCCCCGGTTCTGGACAGCTGCAATGTTGCCATTCCAGCTGAGGTCTGAATGACTTCACCGAATCATTCAGATGTTTAACTGGGAGGAGCGAAAATGCTTGTCAGATCTCTGCTTGCTGAATATTTCAGGCTGTATATAAAACCTACAAGACTGCGACTCTTCAGGATCATGGTTTGCAAACCAATGTTCTAGAGTCTAGTCTTTCAATACAATATAGTCATCCAATACAATCCAACACAATAATAACAGAGAACGTGGGTCTGTAGCTCTTAAAAGCCCCAGGCATTTAATAATTATCATATTCTTGACACCCACACTTTACCAAAGATCAAAATATTGTGCTCAGATGTATACATGTTATATTGCTTTATTTTGGTTAAAATCCATATGTTATTGTATTCGACTTCACACGGTCTAGAATCTAAACAGATTGGGGCAGCAATCAAAAAGATGTTTAGTTAAACGTGACGTTTTGAAATCGAGGGATGTTATGTTAAAATTGCACAATGCACTAGTAATACCTCATTTACATTCTGCTCTCAATTTTGGTCACCAGTTTCCAAAAAACAGACTGCTGTGCTAAAGCCAGTGGAGAGAAGATAGAGCAAATACCGTCCTGTGCTCAAATAAATGTCTTACACTGACAAGTCAGAAGAAATTAATCTTTTAACTATTCATAATCGCCAAGTGAATTGATCAAGTTAACCCTGTTCTGAATCAACACTGAAACAGGAATCAAAGGGCACAAAAGGACACTTAGGAGAAATGCAATTAAAACTGAGAACATGTGGCACTACTTTACACAAAGGGCTGTGGAAGTCTGGAACAAGCTACGCAGCACTGATGTCGAAACGGAGCCCTAGCTGTAATCTTTAACTAACTTCTGTTACTCATGGGAATATGTCGCAGCTACGTTCCTGTTAAAAACATTTGGGGGAGGGGGCTCAAGGTCACTATCGAGCGAAGGCTGAAAATAAATGCGTGCTAACTGCGACAGTCGTCGAGCAGTCCGGCGCAAACAAAGAAACGTACAAGAGCAAATGCATAAGTTTAAAAAAACGAAAAAATTAAAATGACACTTTCAGTAATCAAAACACAAAATAAACAAACGCACCGTGAAATAAAACAACCTTAATTACTGATATTACAATATCAACAACAGCAGTTCCAATCATACAGAACACGGTCCTGTATCTCTTAAAAATCCCTAGTACTCGTCAATTGCCATATCCCTGACACCCGCACGATGCAGAAGGTCGCAATATGGTGCACAGATCTGTGCACACACGTTATTTTACTTTATTTTGGATTCACGATTCTCACATAATGAAACAACGCGTATCCCAATCAGAACTCACCTGCACTCACCTCAAGAGTATTATATACGCAAACTACAATAACTGAGCTAAGGTCATGGAAAAGGAATACAAGGGACCCCTTTCCCAAAATTAAACCAATTTGCATAAAAATATGTGCAATTTCATGAACTTGCATGGCACACGGGAGTTTTCTATTGGCAATATTTAGTGGAGAATTACAGCTTCAGCTTTCTTCGGGAATGTATCTTTCATGCAGTTAACGTCATTACTGGGGATTTTAAAATGCCCTTTTAATTTAAAGGCATTTTCTTTGTCGTTCGGTGTTTTTTTGGCTCATTATGCTTAGTTACATAACTTATTCCGAAGACACGTAAGTGTTAAAATAATCGGGATATTCTTATAAAGTTAAAATCTGAAATAAACTGAAGCAGAAGAAAAGATTCGCATTATTCTCCCGGTAAAGCAGCGCTAGCGCGTGTAGAAACGGCCTTGGATACCCATTGAAATGTATTGTAAAACGCGTGGTTCTTACCCTCTGCGGACAGGGCTGGATGCAATAGCATTAAAACCATTCCTATTGACATCAAACACTTCGTGACCATTCCGTTAAAGACAGGTGTCTTGCCATTCCTCTGAAAAGGACATCCTGTCGCGCCTACACCTATCCATACCAGAGACGTCAATCCGACAGCAGAGTCCTCTCCGCTGAAATTCAAGATGCAGAAATAGTTATACGCACTCCTCAAACTAGAAGCCATTTGTATATCCAAAAGAGATATCGTAAAACAGGTCCTGAAAAAGGCATTTGTTCCCTCCGCAGATGATCAGAGAATGAACCCATCAACCAATGTCCCCACCTTGCCTGCAATTCAGCAGAAACAGCGATATTGGAAATTTAACTGGTACATCTGTGAAGCGCTCCACGTTCGCCGCACATCTTAGTGCTGCAGGAGCAGGATGCTTCAAATGTCTTGGTTGTTAATCATTTCCACAAGCCTCGCAGAGTTGTTTAGATTTTCCTGGTTGCTGTCCCCGGAATTCAAAATTGGAGGTGTGGTCAGCGTCCCCCCCCCCAGTTGCTGTGAGATGCGAGTGTTATTGCAGTTAAGAAACGTCATTTCATTAAGAAAGAAATCACGTACTCAATCCAGGGTTTACTGCAAAAAGAAAGCAGTTAAGGTAGCCGGCGAGGTAGATCTCGACGCCCCCTGGTGGGTACTTGCGCTATTACTTCCAAAGGAAAAAGTTATCTTCTGGGCCATGATGAAAATATTACAGAAATGCAGATTTTTTGGCATTTACTTTAAACGGGTTTGCATACATATTTCACTGCATTCAAAAGTTATTATTTTTCTGCAATATTTACAAGGTATTTCAGTTTCCGAAGTTTGTTTAAGCTTTGCCAAACCACCTTAAATTAATGTTGCAAAACATGTGGTTTGTGCCACATCTTTATAGCTATATATAAGTACACTATATATGTACTGTTCTTAGTGTTTATTTATAACATATCTGCTGAGGTCTGACATTTATGCTACAGTAAAGAAGGGTTCCAGGACACTATTAACCATTTAAGACAGAACTACCCCTAAAACCATTGTACCAAGCTAAACACCTAGAAATAGTTGTATATAAATGATTTAATAGCAACAAAAGTCCTTGTGTCTGCACAAGAGCAAATTGCAGGTGCAGAGTAAGATAACCCCTGCCTTACGCATTGCTAATTAAAAGTAATGCATAAAACCACTTGGCAGCTAACCTTTAATCATCAGCGCAGATGGATGATTAAAACTCTGTAGGGGGTTCACCTCTCCCCTCACACGCGAACACCAGAAGGAATGCTGGACCTGTAGAGTGAACTGGAGAAGTACAGGACCAGGATCAATGCGCTGGGTCTGGCTGAGGACAGGCGAAGATGAATGTGACCAGATGGGTGTCAGCATGTCAGAAAGATGAAAGATTAAGGGACCACAGCCCTAAGGGGGATCACGATGCTGCCCCTTCCAAAAAAAAAAAAAAAAAGAGAAAAGGCAGCAACCAGATGAATGACCTAAGGAGTATCTCCAGAACTGGCAGTAAAAGAGAGCCAGGCAGAGGGGTGAATTTAGCCCTGAAAAGATGGGCACTTGTGGTCCTGGATGTGCTGAGAGTACAGCTCTGCATTGTCTGGAGTCTTTCTATATGCAGAAGGCAGGTCCAAGATTATGCAGGGCAACTCTCTCCTCCTCGGATCACTGCGTTTAAAAAAACAGGAGAGACACGGCTCTCCAGTCCTCAGAATTCATATAGGTTCATGGTAGTCTGAACTACCGCCGGCCAATGGGTTAGGCAAAACAAAATGATGGATTCGCAAACAGCAGTCTGATCTGCATTTTGAGCATTTAGGAAGATTAGAATGTATATATATCTTTCGACAGGACAGCCAACATAGATTCAGGATTGCTCGTGTAACACTGAACAGTGCTGATGCCTTCAATGAGGAAGAAGAAAACGTCACGATGTAGGTGGTTATGCATCAAGCTGAAAGGGTACGGTAATATACCCATTTACATTTTTCCACTGCTCCTCAAATTAAGCTTGGCTTCGTAAAATATCCATGAGGTGGCAGTGTCGGCTTGCCTGGGTAACCCCTTCCAAGTACTGCAATTTGACAACTTTAGGAGCAGCTTCTTTATCCAAAAATGAAGGCCTTCATCCAAGACAGAAGGAACCAAGGGAATCAAAAACACAAATGGGTGCCAGACTCCACAACCCTTGAATGAAGAAAATGATTCAATGAAGAAAATTGGGCAGAATACAACCAACTACCAAAGCACAGGGAATGACACTAACTCCTTTTCTTGCTCAGGGACTGTCAATGGTATTTTTATACTGGTTCAATCTAAATGGCAATTAGAAAATCAGGCTTGCTCCGAGTCACTTAAAACTCACCTTGCTTCTAGTGAGTTCTTGTACTGTTTTGTCTAATCTTTTCCTGTATTAAATAATTGATGTACCATTACATTTAGTTATATAATATTCTACAATAAAACGTTATCATTTTTATTGCACATTCCACTCTAAAATGCTATGAATACAATTTTGCCGATTTACCTTGTTAACTGTGGAACGGGATTACATTTCTATGTTCATTGCAAAGGATATCTGTTGCCAAGGATGCATCAAAAAACACTCCATATTGTAATCAGGATTCCAAGCGTTTTCATGGTTTAGATGCACATTCACTATCCCAGTAAACATGTATAAACATAACTTTTAAAATTGTAGTATTTAATATTTGGAAAAATGTCCAAAGAAATGAAAATGTAGCATAAACTACTATGCTGCTAGATGAAAGCATCTACTCATTAACAGACCTCTTTGCTTTGAAGTGAAGTTTTGTTTATGTTTATGAATACTGGAGAAAAATTGTAAATTATGTTGCATAATAGTTTTGTACATATATGTATAAACACATTTTTTTTGTTTCTGGGAGGGGTGGTGGGTGGTAGTTTCAAATTCCTTGTAAAACGGTTATATTTTTGTTTTTATTCTGTATCCTAAGAAACTTCTAATGGAGGTACTATCACACTCATAAAAGAAAGAAACAAGTCATTTGCTGCAGCAATAGATATTTTTAATTCAAAGTGAATCTTGACAATAATACACCATAAATTCTTATTTTGACACTCACCAAAATAGTCACCTGGAAAACCCGCTTTTTGTGACAAAGTACAGAAGGCTTGGTCACATTTAAATCACTGAGAACTAGAAAGAAATACTATCGCAAACTGTAAGAGACATTACATCCATAATTTTTCCCAGTCCTCATATTGTAAATATTGCACAGTGCAATTGCTACATGGCAAACTAGTGTAGCATAAAATCAAAAGCAAAAAATAAAAATAAAAGCCACAAAATCTACAAATATTAAAACGGTAACAGTTCAAACTTAGTAATCAAGTCTATTTGCTGTGTAATCTAAACAGATTTTTCCATAACTTGCAGCGTGAATTAACTTTCACTAACACAGCTAACGTGAAAATAAAAAAGGGAAATAAAAAACAAGTAATCAAACCAAGTAGTTAAGATTAATACAGTAGCACATTGATTAATACAAAGACCCTGAATAAACATTTTAAGCATCTCTAAAAGAATAATACCAATCATATATAAAATAATTTGCAAAACTAAAAATTAAATATTATAATGGAAGTTTAAAAACTGCAGTGTTTGGTTAATTTTCTTTTACAAAATTTCATTATGCTTTCAAAATAGAAATGTTTAAAAAAATCTTTTTTTGATGGTAAAATTGGTAGATTAATGGATTTGTCTGTGCAATCTGAATCACTGACAATTTTAACCCACTGCATCTACAATTAGGTTTGGCTAACATGGACATTTTGTGCAGGCATATTTGCTGGTAAACACCATTACACAGGAATCGAAATATAGTTCAAATCCCACATGCATTTTACATAATTCACCAAAACCTACAGCATGTGTCACTAATCATGTTCATGCATTTTTATATACGAAATGCCTACATCCAGCCCAAGTGTCTATTTCATTTGTTTGGTATGAAAAGCAAGCAGCAACAGATTGAAATGAAATGGTTTAGTAACTAGCAATGCACTGCTTGCTTCCAGTTACAACTTTGGCCTTTGTTTGTACTAGGATACTAATGTCTTATTAGTCAAACTAAGTACAATGCATGTTATTAGTTACGGCCATTCAGTGATCAAAAGTTTACAAAGGCAAGTAAGTAGGCTTTTTACCACAGCCACTGAAATCCGGTAAGCACTTTCTGCATGGAAATGCACCGTATACAATCATTTCTTATCCCCACAATTCACCTTCATTCCATGAGACAACAAGGTAAAAGCAGAGATGTATATTGCTGGAACAGTGTTACATGTGTTAAGCACTGAGAAGGCATTCCCTGACAATTGAGCCTATCTATTTTAGCGGTTTTCAAGAGCATACCACATGACAGTCAAGTGGAACCAGAATAAAACTGGCTCCAGGTCTCTAAATCCCAATTATTTCAATGCTTACTACATACTCATGTGAAAACCCACTACAGCAAGATGCAGAAAAGTCATCTGTTTCATCAGCTTCTATTTGCCCCTGAACCCCACGACTCATTCAAAGGTAAAGGAAGTACCTGCAAGTGACTGGTGAATGGCTATGGTGTAATGTGCAGTTGGCTTGTAGGTGGGCAATGCATCGTAAAATAACAGGAAAGTGATAATCACTTAGTGGCAGCAGTCCTGACAAATGGAGTGAACTTCACTGACAATAGCTCGGACAAGACTATACAAGAGTATTTCGATCCCTGGAATGACTATGAAAAGGATGAAATAGTATTTTTTGGTCAAGCTGCCACTTCAAAGTGGCATCATACATCACTGTTCATTGTGTTGTGTTCTGTAATAGACTTCATCAAATTGCCCCTTCACACAATACCACACAGTCAGTGGGAAAGAACAGACAAGCATTGCCTTCAGTTTTCCAAACCCCTTATTCTCAAGGCACAAACACAGTGTTATACACACTGTTCTCAATAAAGTAACAAGTAGGAGTGGTTAAGAAATGAAACTTACCAAGTTGTCCGATATGAAAACTTCAGGGGACAAACAAATGTGTTTCTTCTGATTTAATTAAGATTTCCTCTAGTGAAAAATTCTTAACAAAAGGGTTGTCCCGTGCATGGCCTTCTGAACGCCTTTTAGACCAGAGATTACATTTAACAGTTAAAAAGGATTTGTATAAAATGTGCAATATTCTGTGTTTAATATAAAATGATAAAAGGGTTTAAAATTTAGTTGTTAAACTTTTTGAAGATTGAAACAAACTGCTAGCACAAAATTCATGTCACTGACAATGGTTTCAACAGAACACTGCAATTTCCAAGAGGAAAAAAAAGGCATTTTACCTTCCCCTACCCCAGGCCTCAGTTAGCTTATTGACAGTTATACAAGTGCTGTTTAGTGGTGTGTGAGATAAACATATGTAATATAATGCCTTGGCATTTATTTTCTTTACAACTGTACTACAGTGATAATTGTAGCACTGCGCTGCAATTAAACATTTCTGCATGTTAGTACATAACTGCCTTACAGAAAAAGTTAAGTCAATCCTGCAAGCTATAGCTTCACGTCTACAAAATGCCAATATGAAAACATATAAAATTAAGTTACATCAATACATCCATTTATATGCAGTGATGAGCCCAAAAGTTAATGAAGATAAAATACTGATGCAAAAAGGAAACAAAAAACACCCCCAAAACATAACAAATGCAATTAACCTCCATCATTTGCAATACAGTAGTTACAATGACACTCCAAACATTAAAGCAAAAAAAATAGAAATCAAAAACCCACTTCTATTTCAGGTAATTAGACCTATACAAAAATAAGAAAGCTAAGTAAGAACTAAGTTAATCACCTAATTTCACAGCTATTTGAAGTGGCAATCATTATATAGCAGCTTATCTATGATACATTCAAGATAAATGATACAAATTATTACTCGCCCAAAAGCTAAACATAGCCTCAACCATTTTTTTAAATACCTTTTTGAAATTTATCCCCATCGTTATGACTACAGTATACTTGAGGTCTATGCAAGAAAAGTAGCTACCTTGCTTAGGAAATGGATTACAGTCTTTGGTGCTGCAAAAGCAACTTCATTTGAAAGTAAAAACAAAAACTTTATACGCACATACTAGCAAACAAACAGAAAAAAAATGCACACAGCATATATATTTTCTCCCTGACGGAATGTATAAAATAAGCAGTCGACACCAACAAGCTTAAACAAATGGTATAATAAATGTAAAAAGTAAAATTTGTCACATGCATAAATGATAAAATTGCACACAAATAACTCACACCTTGTCAAGCTTCAGCACTAAATATTCTATTTCGATAATATATATCAAATACTGCATGGTTTGCTCAAGCTAAGATGAATCCATATCGTGAATCAAAGAGCTATTTGATTTTTTTGTCTTATCTAGTCAAAGCCATGCCCACCACATTTCTAAATAGTTCATAAAACCCAATGGATCAAACTTTAAAAATATAAAACAAAAATCAACAACTATTTAGATTGTATTGCAGTTTCAATAAACAGTATAAATACTGTTAGTACGAAGTGTATCCTAAATAGAAATTGATTATCAAATATTAAGCAATATTCAACGCTTGCTCTTTATACACTAGATCATTTGGAAAAAAAATCCCGAACAGCAAACATTTGCTACAGCAAAGCATGCTGTCCTCTGATAAGGTAAAACTTGCTACTTCTCAAATTTACACTAAACCCCAAAAAAAGCACTGCTCTATCTCTTATGTAAGTGAATATATATATAATCAGCAGATTTGAATTTCAAGTGCTGCAGTCCAGTACATTAATATAAGTAGTAACATAACAACCTCAAATATTTAAGGCACTATGTGTGGGAACAAGTTACAATGCAGCTGAGATTCTTAGGACAAGAACATTAAGAGCAACGTCTAGGCATCTTTCCATTTTTTTTTGCCCATGCAAGGAGAAGACATGCAGAGTGGAGAACAACCTTCCAGATTAAGTGACTCAACATTTAAAACACCAAAGACACAGGAAAAATACAAATAGTTAACGAATACACTGTACTGTGGACACATGTGCATCTGTTGCCCTATAATCGGATACTGAATGGCTTTACAAATGTAGATGTGTCTTGCACAAGTTAGAAGGCAATATATAAAAATAGTAGGAGTAAAACGAGACTTCCACTCCCATAATTCACCTGTTCTTAAGAGTTAACCATATAAGATCCAATGAGAAGATATCAAATGTGCAAAACACATTAAAAGTGAGTTTTCTTTTTTCTTTTTAAAGCTCAAAGTTTTAATTGCACCCAAGTCTACACGATTAAAAAATATTTTTTGTTTTCTGTTGTGCCATGGTTAAAATTAGGAAACCATGCTCGTTTTTTTGTTGTTGTTGTAGTTGTTTTATTTTGCTTGTCTGTCGACTTACTACGTTTGTTTCCTAAAACCAATCGCTTGCGCGGTGAAGAGCTCGGCCGGGGCTCAGATGTAAGGGTACTGGTTAAGCTTGGTGGGGCTGAGGGGGAATCCGGTGTAAGCGGGAGAGGCCGTGATGTACGAATGGGTGGGGAATATCGGTTTGAACTGGTTCTGGTGGATGGTGGGGGAAGGCAGCAGGCGGTGGTTGAGTCCCACTGTGACTTGATGCACGAGCCCACCCGGGTGAGAGATGCTGTAGGCTGGCTGGATGACTGGCCTTGTAGTACACGGCGAAGCCAGGATATGAGCGACTGGAGCAGCAGTGCCCAGGGGGGCAGATGGAGGGTAGGATAAGAGAGCTGGCTGGGCCCCAAGGTGAGTGTTGCCGGACAAGTGGGGGTGCGCTGTAGTGTGGTTGGGGCTCCCATGGGGAAGGGTGAAGGTGTGGCCGTGGACTGTGGGGGGTATGTATGCCTGCTGTCTCCGGGGGCCATAGTTCCCATTCCACTCCTGGTGGCAAGGTCCAAAGTGCTGAACCTGTACAAACAACAAGCCAGGCTGGGCATCAAAGCGAAGACCTTTTACACAACATTTCAGTGTCGAGTTATTGAGTTATCTGACTGTCATCCAACCCCAACCCCCAAGTTTTGAACTAACAATTTCTGGTGTAAACAAATTTGTCGCTAGACATTAAATGATCTCAGGACTACTTCAAAGAAACTAGGACACCACCAAAAAGGTACTGGATTCCTGCTACTACAACTGTCTAGGGCACGATTAAGACCGATTTCATGCAAATTCTGCCAAGATCCCAGGGGCCTTCAAAGAAATCGTACCTGTCCATAGCCGACGTGCTGCTGCTGGAACGCCGTTGCGATCTTCTGCTGGCGCGCGACTACGGCAGACAGGTGGTGCAGCCGCCCAGGAGCACAGCGGCCCTTGGACATGGAGCGACACGAGGCGTCTAAGACTGGAGAGAGGGACACGGCAGTGGGGTCAGTGCAAAATCAACCCAAACCAAGTTACCAGTCAGGGGAGTTTAAAAGAGGGGGCATAGCGACAAATAAGCACAGCGGAAATCACCCAGAAATTTTAGTGCTACTTCCAGGGGAAAAAAACAGACCCTCAATAAAATAAAAGAGCTGGTGGACTTTTTATTTATTTTTCCTGAACAACTTTAGAGGAGATACTGGCAAACTAAAAACAAGCTGCAAAGACATGGCTGTTCAATAGAGAGAGGAGAAATAAAGTATCACAGAACAGCGGACTAATCAAACCAATCACCACTTTATTTATAGGCGTAGGTGACAATAAAGATCACCTAAAATAACCCGAGCGGAGAATTCATGTGTATTTAGTTTCAGAGGCAGGCAGGGTGTAGAACAGGCTTTCGTGAAATGTAATATCGTGCCATATCAATTACAACAGGCTTTAAAATGATACCATACAATGTACGCAATTCTAACGCCATTCAAGCAGCAAAAGACAACTCCAATTTTTTCTAGCAGTGAATTCTGATAGGGGCCTTTAAGAGATATTAATGCATAGTGGCATATGTGTCTGTAATGGCACAGTGAGTGGTACTCAGAAATGCACTGCCATCACATGGAGCCAAAGGCAGTGCTTTCACCTGTATTTGCCATCTGCTCATCAGCAATGGAGTTGTTGTTTTGTACTCTCATTGGTGGTACCACCATAGTGCGCACAGCTGGCTTGCTGGGCTCAGTCTCCGGGGCTCCTCTGGTTTCTCTGTTCTGGTTGGTGTCCGGGAGAAACCTGCTCTCCATGAATGGACTATCATTTTGTCCTGAGGAGTCGGAGGCAGGTGAGCCATCCACAGTATCACAGCCACTCTCCTGCTCATCCTCCGACATACTAAAACGTTAAAAAAAAACATGTAAGTTCTACCATTTCGCACCCACGTGTAAAACAAGACATGTGAAGGAGTGCTCAATCAATGACTGCACTGTTCAATGTTTCTGAGCTGGACCTTTTAAAATAATTTCATGTTTCAGTACTTTTATGAAGACTTCCTGATTCATTGCATTATTGCACTTCAGTTCTATGGCTTGCGAGCAAACAGACATTTTGGATATGCACGGATTTTAATGATATTTTCATTCAAATGTCATTAAACATTGACCACCTCTTTAAATATAGGGCACCAGTTTGACTAAAAGAAGAATTGCCCCAAAAATGAAACACCTACACAGACATGTTATTGAGATTGAGCTATTGTGCATTGCTAACAGTCTGGTTCACCAAAGCAACAGTTAAACGGGGCTTCAAGGTATCCTCAAATCACCAAAAAGAAGGGTCAAGCTTTCCCAATTAAGCAGTAATTGAGATAATTTAACCCTCCTCCAGATGTATTGTGCTACTGATTTAAACAGACTTGCAAGTTCTGCTCAACTGTTGCCCTCAAAGAGCAAAGCCCTGGTTAAATTGACTACACTGAAAAAAATAAACAGTGTACCTGTTGGGTCTTTTACATGGGGAAGGACTGGACTCTACGGAGTTGGATGAGCTGGTACTAAGAGTGCTATCAGGACTGCTTAAAGAGCAAACACGATCTATATTCAGGGTACTCTGACAGGCTTCACAATCTGGGCTGCCTTTACATCTGTCAAGAAAAAACAATGTTTTTTCACGACTGCACAATGTTGCATTTAAAATTCTACAATGTTTAAAAAGAGGTGACATTACTAGGAAACTTACAAAAAATACAGCACAAACTTCCAACTTTTTTTTTATTAAAAGTCAAGACAACTTTTTTGCTATATCTCCAGTGTTACAGGGCTATAGCTGGACTTAAGTGGAGTCTCAAAGGACGATACTCACTCTCCCAGAGAGTGTCTCTGCACCGACTCCTCGTCATCCGTGTCACTGCTGATTGTGATAACGCTGACGGCGGGACTGGGCGAGTCAGCGATGATAATAGTCTGGCGCTGTTTACTAGAAACGGCCAAGTCATCAGGGTCCTGCCCCGCCTTGCAGCAGCTGCTCTTTTCTCTCTCGGGGCTGCGATTGTCCTGCGTCTCCTCTATGCAGCTCTCTACAGCGCCTCTCTTAGAGTTGTCCGATATCTTTGGGGACAGGCGTACATGGTTCTGGGCATTGGTGTTGTGTAACATATTGTTACTCCTATGGAACAAAATCCAACAGAACAATAAATATACATCAGGATTGTATAAATTACGGACAGGAAAGCATAAAATAGGATTTGGGGCATACGTATTTCATAATTGCTACCTTTGAACAGACTGAACTGCTGAGAGTGCAAATTAATCATAAAGTGGCTTTTCTCAGGACTATAATTAGATGTATAAAAATCTTCAGTACCACACCCTCACTTTCAGGAAATTAAGTGGTAAAAATAAAATACTCAGAAAAGAGACACATTTGATGAACAAACATCATGACTTCTGGATATGATGACCTTCGTAGCCCTTACCTGTTCTGGCAGGGCTTGTTTCTCTTGCTAGCAGCTGGCTGGGGCCACACGACATGAGCGATCCCTATGCTTATTGGCTGGTGGGCTGACATGGTCATTTGGTTTGTTAAAAGAGGCTGTGGCAACATGGAGCTGTAATGGTTACCATGGGGTCGCAGTTTTCTGGAAACAAAAGAGCTTACTGGTGATTACATGTCTTTAAAACAATCATCAATCCAACAAAGTAGCAGACAAATATAATAGATTTTTAAGAGCCTAAAATGTGAAACAATCACATTGTTAAGAATAATTGTAGCAACAGCAGTATGCTTCATAGCTTATATGACACAGGTGAGTGTAAAAGGGCTGTGAAGGGCAGCAATACATACCCCCATTCTCCCAGTCTCTGGGGGCCAGACACGGTCTCTGATGCCAGGGCTGCGGTCGAAGGTGCCACAGGGGTTACTTGCTGCCAGGCTGGGACCAGGATCTGCTGGGTCCGATTTGACCAGGTCTGCTACAAAATCGCGAGATTGAAACAGAAAAGTTACAATATGCTGAGATTTATATGACTGTTTTTTTTTACATCACACATCAAGAAGACCATCCAACTATTCTTCACTTGCCACACAAAATAAAGCTTGCCAAAACGCAATTAATCTTTTCAAACTCAACCCATGAGTTTCTGGCAATATGCATATTGCACCACAGCCAATACATGAATTTGAACAGCTCGTGACAGTGATAACTTGAATAAAGGGCTGAAATGGACTCCAGGAAGAGAAGTGGAATCAGTCCCACCCTTACCTGAGTGATAACTCCTGGCCGAATCTGCAAGGGCTGTATGGCTGGGGCTTGAGTCACAAGGGGAACAGTATTGTCCATTCTGACTGAATATCCAGCAGGCTTGCTTGGGTTAGTGGGGATTCCTGGCAAAATAAGAATAGCCTTCGGTAAACTGACAATGTAACATTCATAGAATCTTACGTGATAGTATTAATGTCCAGATCTGAGAACCAGAAATCTGTACCCAGAACCTTTTGGTTGGGTTCTTTGCAAAAAAAAGGGCATTTCCTACTGTCACTATAAAGTTTTAAGAGTTTAGGAGCCGTAAATGACATTTAATAAATACATAATACGCTAATGCAAGCAAACTGTGAATGAAAAATGTATATATGAGAACAATACAACTTTCATAAAGTTACTAATAATTACTGTGTATCAGTTATCACTAGATTATTGACACTGTTATAATGCTATGATTTCAGAAATCAGCAAGATGTGTCTTATGCATACTTGGAATAAACTTTTACTTTTTCCTTTACAGCCTGCACATGCCGATGCAGCTACCTACTTGAACTACTTTGGTAAATGTCTACAAGCAAGTCCTGTCCAATTTCAAATGAAGGGAGACAATGTAAAACAGAAACATCCTTCAAAGTGTAATCGCTTTAATCTTTCACACAAACAAAGGTAGGTGTAAACTTCCATCTCATAAGAGATCTCTACCTTGAATGGCAGGGGGACAGAGAATCAATGCTTGCTGAAAAGAATCATTACACCCAAACTGAGTGCTTCCTGTCTGAAGTGGTATCCCATGGTGCATCACAGATGGACCAGATGGTGCTAAAGCCTGTGGAAAACAAAAGCAGGTAGGGGTGATTCTGTCTATTCTGGGGACACAGTTATTACACACAAAAACTTAAAACTGACAGCCTCTAAATGGACCTTGGGCTTTCAGAACCTAACAAAATATCTAAGAAATTGTCCTGCAGGTGGCAATACTGATTCAGCCAAAATATAATGACATGCCCATAAACAACTGCTTAGTAAGGGTTAGATCAAAGTTTCAATAGCCTGGCACTATAAAACAGTTATCAGATTATGCAAATAGAATCTTATAACCCACAGAGTTTACATGGTCAAAGTCTGGTTTGAAGAGCCCTCTCCCCTCCTTGAAGAAAAGACTAGGGACGTGTTGCTATGATGCCCAGTTATTTAATTTTCTAACTGATTGTGGAGTAGCCACTTCCACCAGAAAATTCCTATTAAAAACAGAGCAATTCTGCTGCTTCAGAAAACAAAACCTAATATTGTTTTGGACAATTAATATTTATTTACAAACGACTGGAATGTTTTAGCAAAGTTATTTTTAGACTAAAAGTTAAAAAAAGCTCCTAATTCACACTGGGCTTCCCTGTTGAGAGGCAACACATATATAAACAACAGGAAAAGGACACATTACTTCACATTTCTGAACAGTTCCTGTCTGAAACCAAACATCAAAATTACATTAGAGTCTGGTAATTTTATATGAACAAGCAAGAATAGTGTTTACAAAATGTAATTGTAAAATATTTTACAACATTGGTTAAATTCATCTTTAGATGACCAATACTTCCCTTTTTAAAAGCCACACTTGTTCAAAGCAATCTTTGAGAAAAAAAACTGCTTGAAAAGCATCTATAACACTCATGGCATACTACTTATTAAAAAAACATATCCTAATTTGAAAAGACTCGTGCTGAATGGGAATGCAACAATTTAGAGGTATTCACATTACAGGTTCCTCCTATAACTGCAGAGCTATGCCATCTGGTGTTCACACTGTGATGTAGTGTACAGCAAAAAAAATACCAGTAAAACATCTGAGAATAGCTAATGACTCATGTGTTAACAAGGCTACATTCTTTATGTAATATTCTGTGCAAGACGTAGAATATTTATTTTTATATTTCTATTTATTCTGTTATGCTTTACGCTGAGCCTTGAGGGCCATTGTCAGCCTTACAGTTTCCAGAAACACTTAGGTAACAGGCTAACAAAAAAGATGAGACAAGGGAATGTAAAAAAGGCACTTAAAAAGCTCTAAATCCCTTGCAAATAGCCAAATTACTAACCCATTTCCCTGAAAACATCTGAATGATAAATTACACAAATATAAATTATGTACAAGGGCTGTTAATGTAACAAGTGCACAGTGTTTTGAAGTTCATTCTTTCACTTCACACACAAAGCTGTACTGGTTTTCAATTTTCAGTCCGCGTCTGTGTGCAATACATTTTCCAGTTGCAATATAATTAAAGTACCAGTGCTTACTTGAGTGTGAACAGCGCCCATCTTATTAAAAGCCACAGTCAGATTTGCTGCACTGCTCGAGGTGACAGGCCTCATGAATGATGTCTTATTGCGATTGCTTACATCATAGGTGTTTGACCGTGATCTGCAAACATCCATTATGTGGAAACATGATTTGACACTGTAGGGGGGAAAATAAAAACTTCAGTAAAGCCACAAAAAAAAATAACACTTAGAACCCATTCAGTCTTACTACTGTAGAAAATATGTAATTTTTGTTTCATAACTGTAAATAAAATGCATTTCAGCAGTTGCCTTTGACACAAGTCAACCACAAAACATGCAAGTCAGTGCTAAATATTTATCATATCAAAAACCATGAGATTTGATTCAGAAGCAGACTGAGAATATTGCAATGTAAAAAAAACACACAAGGAACCCGTAAGAATATTAAAAGGCAAAAGGCAGTCATGAGCAGTTGCTAATGTTGCTAGCTGTGGTTGCAGACAGGAAAACAGATGGAACATTCAACAGGAGAGACGTACTGGCTGCTGTGAGGAAAATCTAAGAGGTGGTGCATGTTGACAAAGGGGTGGCTCATGGTCTCTGCTGGGGTGATTCTTTTATCAGCATCAATCAATAACATTTTCTTCAATAAACTGACAAACTCTCTTCGATCTGCCTTCTCTGCTAGCAAGTCACTTCCTTCCATATCCATCACCATGTTCACCTGGAATAAAACAAAAAAAACAGCCTTCATAATTACGTTTTTTTTTCCTTCCCTTTCTAAATGGTAGTAGCTTAAACACTGCAATGGAAACTAGAGTTGGTTGATGTGAACATTTTTAAACTGTAATTTTAAAAAGTAATTGTATCTAGTTTTTAGATTTTAATGATGACAGTATACACTAAGAAAAACTGACATCTTAACTGGGCAGAAAATACAAGATCACTTTGCCAAAACTTCATGCTGTATACATTAGAGTTCAGTAGGAATCCCCTTGCACTTACATGCGCTATATCATCCAAACAGCCAAAGATGTACTTCCTGGCTTCTTTTGACTTCATCCCTGTTTCCGTCTCATGTTCCTCTGTTGACTAAAGAAAGGGTGAAAATAGTTTAAAAGTGAGACCTGATAGGGGATCCTGGAAAAGCAATCATTTTATAAAACCCTGTAAGAAAAGGGAAGTGTATTCTGTAGTAACACTACGTTTCCAAGTTCCAATACCAGTGCCTGAAAACAGCAACACAGTAAGAATGCAAGTTCCACATACATCAAGACTAAAACTAAGAATGATCTAAGCAAAAGAAACAACTGCCTGGGACAAATCTAGAAAGAAAAATATGGAAAAAAAATAATATACTCTACTTAAGAGAACGCCTTTGATCCATCATGCTGAACTAAGTGCACTGTAACTTGCCATGTGGGCAAACTCCATCAATGTGGCTCGTTTTGGCCCGACAACACCTCAGCAACATTGATAGGAACGTTCAAGAGTGTCAACATCCCGGCAGGACAATGTCCTCATGCCGTTTGTAAAACCAATGAAAAAAAGGGGATGATGGTTATGCCTCGAAGGCCCTCCCTGCCAGGCTTAGGTGAACATCTGAGGGATGATGGGAAACGTCTTTAAAACAGGAATGGGACAAAATCTGCATATGGAAGCTGATGCAAAGCATGTGCTGCACGTTCAGAACTTCTCTTGTCGTCTCTGACTGGGGCAGTTTGAAAAAAAAGTGCACTGAATTCCAGCAGGAGTTGTTCCAGCCAAACTGATATCATGCCAGGTTTTTTTGTTTTCACTTCATGTGAGCAAAATGTACAAGAAATACAAACGGCATATCAACACTGTGAGAGTCAAATACCTCACCTTCAGTCTCCAGCCCGAATAGGGAGAATCGGACTCCCTGCAAAAAAACCTTGCCGTTTTCGTCCCCACATTCAGCAAATGCTCTCCAGGTAAACCTTGGGTTTGAGAAATGTATCGAATCTGCAACAAACATTGTTTAGTTTAGACAGGTATGACAGTTGCAAACATTGTGCTAATATCCATTTCGCAATTATTTTGCAATTAAGCCTAATGAGAATAAAGTAGAGATGTCTTCATTCTTCTGTTTCACCATTTAATTGGCCAGTGTCCAGTGTGAAATTCTGCAGGCCCACACTTCAGATGAAGTACTTAATGCCCAGTATTTTCACGAACATCTTTTTTATAGCAATGGATGGACTGGCATTTGCACCCAGAGATGGAGTGTTGTAAAAAGTTCCAATTGTCATGTTTTGTGATCACTAATTTGATAGAGGAAACAAACACAAATGTAGCACTATAACATACCACTTTCATCCATACACACCATAATTGTGTTCTCTATAGACAACTTTGATTTGTCTATGTCTTCTGGACCCAGCACAAAGAAGTCCTGTGGTTCCACGTTCCTTTGCCTTCATTCTTTTTTTAAAGATAAACAACTAAATGGGCGTGCTAGTGATGTGAAAACAACAGCTATGGGTTTATGAGCCAAGCTTAAGGATTTGTCCACACTGACGTTTGTGACACTGAAGTGCAAGAATGAACTTCCATTAGCAACATCCCGATATACCATATTTAGAGAGTGAGGTAAAGAGGCTGGTATTGCAGCACTCCTGACTGTTCCTTCAAGATACAATCCTTCATTCCACTCATGTGTCTGAAGTTTAGCATTATACACCACTTAACTATATTATTTCACATTACAAAAGGTAATAATTTTCATATTACCTACATACACTGCACATTTACTGCACATAAGCATTTTTGTATTTGATACATGTTAAATACATCTACAAAAACAGAATAATTACTGTATTTATGAATTCTTACCCTTTTCCTTAAAGGATAAATAGACCAAGACCTACATAATACACAAACAATCATGGATGTTCGGTTTCATTCCAAATTTCTCTTTTCTACTCTTACTCTAATCCAAGACCACAGGCTCTTAGATGGATAGTGAATCCATCTAACAAGCTGATATCACCTATGGCCCTTGAACTGAAAGAAAAATGAAATGGCACACTGGGTCTCCAAAAAGGACCTTTTCATCTCTGCTGGAGCTACAGCAGGGTGCAACTATGAAGAAGTTCAAAGTGTAAATCTCTGCTGTGCCACTAATCTTGGGGTCAGTACCTCATCTGGAGATGAATGGAAAAAAAACAGACTTCAGCATACATTAAGGCAACGCGATAAGCAACAGTCACAGGTGGGAAGAGATTATTAGTCTTTGTTAAAAGAGGACAAGATGTGCACTTGGCCACAGGTCATTTCACTTGGCAGTGATCTCTGGCAGCTTAGAGACAACACGATTACAGAGATTCTAACCCAAGTCTTAAGTGCATCTTGAGCCTCAGGCAAAGAAAATAAAAAACATAAAATGGTTACAAAAGCATAAATGGAGGGTTTAATAAAATGTAGTCCTGATGAGGGAGCAACCTACCACATATTGGGAAAGAAATGAGCTACTGCTTTCTTTAAAAACAGATGTACACAGTAGTATGTCATTTCTAACTCAAAGGATTCCACTATGGGTTGATGAAAACCCAGCACGTCTACACCACTTTAGCGGAGAACCTTAAATTTAGTAACGGTCAATTTCAGATTAAACAAAAGTGCAGAAAATTCAAATCTACAGCTAATGGATTTATGAATCCTTTATTAGTCAAACATGAAAGTCCCATATAATCGCAAGTATAATATTACAGCACGATACGAATCATTAATTAGTTCACATATTAAGAAGTGTTTACATTTAAGACAGTACAAGCCACAAATGTTCCTTAAAGGGAACAAAATAAATTAATTGATAGTAAAGAAAAAAATTACATTTTCTAATGAAAACACTGCAAAACGCCACGCCGTTGCAAACTCCTGGTCTCGTCACTCACGAGAGTTCCAACGACCTGCGACGTGACGTGGCCTTTCCTGCGTACTAATGTTCTGTGACTAATGTAAAATGTGATGTATGAGCAAATAAGTACAGGTTGTGCAGCAGATATTTCAGTGCAGAAGGTTTCCAACGTGAACTGCATGCAGAGTTAACAAGTAGTATTCATCAGCAAAACCGTCTTGAAGTCGAGAACAGTGTTTCTATTCAATTAAAAGAGATGTATCCACAAGCCTTAATGTAATAAGGCCACATCAAGTCACCAGAGTTTCTTTTTTGTTCTTCTGAATCACAGAATACGGTGCTACACGTATGTGGCAATTTAGTCTATTTTGTGATTTAAATTGGAAGTTTTGCAAGTTAGTGTACATTTTACTGTGGTTCGAAATGCACTCATCAACGCTGATTCTTTGTAAATCCAAAATGTGAAAATAATAATAATAGTTTACACTTATATAGCGCTTTTCTGGACACTCCACTCAAAGAGCTGACACTCCACTCAAAGAGCTTTACAGGTAATGGGGACTCCCCTCCACCACCACCAATGTGCAGCCTGGAAGATGTGACGGCAGCCATAGTGCACCAGTACGCTCACCACACATC